GATCGGGCCACTGAAAAAAAAAGTTAGTGTCGAGCCTTGCCTTATATACAACATATAACCCATTACAAGTATTACAGCGTTAGAGAGTGAATTGCACTTCAGGTTCTCTTCTATTCCATGATCTGTTAGCGATGGAAACTCTATACCAAACTCTGTTATCACTAGTGTATCACCTGTTCGTTCAAATATGCTCCTCACTCCATTACAATTAACATCGATGCATGCACTCCACTTGTAGTTTTCTTAGTAGTGAGCTACTCTCCATACACCAGTGTAGATACAGACACGGAAATTGAAAACATAACCTGCTCAACAGGAAGTTGTTGAGTGGAAAAATGTACAATCTTTACATAGTTTAGGTAATAAATGCTAATAGTTCATTTCTCTTGTTGATCTGGCTGCTCGTACAAAATACAGCGATGTATTGACATGATTAGCATAGAAATCCATAGACAACTTTTGCCACAATCCAAATCTCAGACGATGTAAAGAATCCCAAGAAGTTTTGTGGTAGTTTTCTTAGTGCAGTATAGTAGAGTATTATGCAAAATACTATTATACTATTATAGAGCACTATACTAAATAGTAATTAGTAATTAGTAATAGTAGGTATACGTGTGCTTTCGTTCACCAACGAGTTACAAAGTGCAATTGTAAGGGTTTACAACAGGATTCAGATTTCCGGTTAAATTCCATTGCTCAGTTGTAAACTCGCATCTGTTCTATGTAACAGTTTGCTTCAGATGTTTGGTCATATTTCCATTGGTCAGAATTACTTCTTTCATATTGTTCAATGATTTATCGACTTCTAAGCATCATGTTACCATTCTTTGGCCTGAATATTAATCCCCAAATTTTTACTGAATTCAGGTCATTTTTAGCTTTTTTTGTAAACCGTGGTCTAATTCATATCTGAAATCTAAATCAGCCACTACATAAAATCGAGCACTTGCACCTGCAATAGCACTGACTTTCTGTCATCCAACTTTAATATCTACTGATAACTGTTCTGCTAAGGAAGCTCCTTGCTCCCATATATGTATATAAAGCCAAACTGTGATAGTACATGTGTGTAGTATGTACATGAACCTCTGTAACTTTTTTAGCTCCCTTTGGCTTCATGTGAGTTAACCCCAGCTGCTGTCCCAACTTGTCTCTTTATTGTTATTTGTTTATTTGTTTGTGTCTTCTTTGCTGACCCTAGTTACTGTTCATGTGCATAGATACTTGTAGTATAGTGTATCTAAAGCAACGATTGTAAATAACTTTCATTGTCTGCTTGCCTATAAATTTGTGTTCTGTACATTTGCAGGTGCAATGGCTGAGAAATACGCAGCACTTCTTTTGGAATCTATAAAGTCTGAAGATCTGGTGTAAGTATATATCTGGAATCATATGTTCTTTATTGGCAGTACCATCTTAACAGATGTCTGTGTTAATATCGCGAGTGAAGTGACTCATCTATAGTTTATATGCAGCAGCATGCATCATTTAGTAATTCTAGTAATCTTAAATAATCTATGCCCTTTACAAATTTGTTTGACATTTTTTCAAGTTTCTCAAAAATATCATTGATCCATTGATAAATGTATGCAATTTGATATACAAATGGCTGTATTTATCTTGCTCCATTCGTGTTTGTTACTGCTATTTATGCAGCAACACTGCATGGGTGTTTGTACGTGAGCTTGTTTGAACACGTTTGTGTGCCTGTCGCTGAAAAATCGACCAGCCGTGAAAAAGACGAGAGTGGAATGAGAATGAATGGATGTGTCGTCGTGAGCGGCCATCCGCATGCATTCCTGTACTGACAGGAAGCGTAAGACAGCGTGCAGTCGCCCGAAATTACTTTTGTAATGTAACGGTCAGAATTCTTGGCAGGTCTCCTACTTTTACAGTGGTCATGGCCTTGGAAGAATGTTGCATCCAGCATTTACTAGTATGGTTATTGGTTATGTACATGTGCATAGCTGACCACGTGAATAATGGAATAGGTTTATGCATAAGCCATAACATATTATTTAGAGTAAGTTTATTTTATGATAAATCTATCTAATTAATTTGATATAAAAAAAAACTTGCTGTCAAAAATTCATCATGAAATAAAATTACTCTCAATATAATCATTGAATCCAGTGAAACTATTCGAAGATGACAATACATTACGCATGCAGTGTTCGCTGTCGTTTCAGCCGAGCAAAGGATCTACTGGAGAGTGGGGCTGATCCCAACCACCTTCTACGCGAGGATGCTACACCGTTCCACCTCGCCGTTGGTACAGACTCTGACCATGCACTGGACTTTGTCCGGCTAATGCTGTGTCACAGTGCTGACCCTAATGTCAGGTGAATGCTGCATCCCTCGTTATCTTTTGTCTGTGTCTAAACAGGTAAAGGTGATTGCAGTGGTGAGTCAAGTCTATGATTGAGTTAGGATTGATCTAAGATCAGGTAATCATGCAATGGGTGAGTCTCTTTATTGCCTATTTAGTCACGTAACATGTCGAACGTTGCACGAAGTGCATCCAAAAATAAGTGATTTGTGTGTCTACGGTTGATAACAGGCAATATCTGAACCGTGCCGCTTGGTTTTAACTAGTAGATATTATGCGGTACCAACAAAATTGGCCCCTAGCATAGGTATATCCTAATATTTCCTTGAGCAGTGCATCATACTAAAAATATTCCTTCTACGATTCTTGCTCTTGGTGTGAGTGGGATCAACCTGAGATCTAGTATCTTCTCAAAAGTTTTACTATTTGCTTGTATTCACCAGGTCATCTGAGGGACTGACGCCCTTGCATGTTAGCGCCATCTGGGGAAAACAAGAGGTGCTTCACCTCTTGCTTGCCAATGGTGCAGATCCGTTCCTCATGGACGAGGATGGTGATGATGCCCTTGACCTCGCACGGGTAATTAACACTTAACTAACAACAAATTAATAATTAACTAGCGGGAAATTAATAGTTTTCTAATGGGTAATTCTTAATGAATTAACAGGAAAGTAATAAATTAACTAACAAATAATTTGAAATCAATTAATCACGATTAGTAATTAACTAATAAGAAATTAACATTTAACTAATGGGAAATTATTACTTAACTGATTGACCTATCCTCCGGGAGTGATTGACTTGGAGTTCTAGCCAATCATTGTTGGAATAAGATGTTCTAAAAGTCAATGTTTGGCAATGCAGCATGGGTCATGACTAACTCTTAAACATCTATGTTTTACAATACATTCAATCATCAAATGTGTCAAAAACTTTCCCTACGAGTATGGTGCATCATGGTTCAGTGTGCATTGAATTGACCTACCCACCTGTAGTGCTTGACACATCGCTCAAGCCAATCAGCATTGTAATTGGATACTCTAGAAACACTGCTCATTAACAAAGTACCACAGAGTCGACAATTTGGCGTCCACACGTGAAAAACCTGTATAAACTGGTTTAGCTAGACGAGATTAGAAAGAGTGTGCTAGGCTGAAAGGGTGGGTCGTCTTGCTGTGATGAAGAGGATGTCATTTGTTTGTTATTCACTTCAGCAAAATGGCGACCCGGTGTGTATTGCCCACCTAAAGCAGGCCCAGGAGGAGGTGAAAAGCAGTCAGCAGGAGGACGGAGAGAATGACTACACGTTGGAACTGAGTCAGTGGACACTGTCATGTTCTTTAAATGTTGCACTCACACTTAAACCATGTTTCATTTTTGTATAACTCGCTATACAAAGTAACAGAAGTGGTAAATCACAATGATAATGAATTTCAAGCATTAAATCTCCATCAATATTATCTTAACGTTGTCGATCAATCCACCACTGTTTTCAATTCAGATCTACCTCATCTAAGCACCAAAACACCATAGTCATATTTACTGGTGCAATTTTAGTATGTGTTTCGGTTGCTGGTACAGTAATACCATGCGGTACGACAACTCAGATTATGTAAATTTGCTCATAAGTAATTACAGCCACAGTAAGTATGAAATGAAGATCCACCCTAAACAGTGCAAACCATCGATGAATTTTGGCCTCCTGGTTAGAGCCTGACATAGTACCCAAGTCCATGTAATGATTGTGATAAAGAAAGTGAACTAGCTGGTAACATTGCCCTTTCTTGTCCCTCCCAGTGATTCCAATTCTGGTTCCCTATTCCTCTGAGAATTATCATGATTACATAATTATTATAATCAATATATGCATTTAGATATGTATACTTGCACTCACGGTCACAAATATCTCTGTAGTCGTTGAATGAGTTGTTTTGTACAAATCTTGGCATTTGTAGTTTTTTACGGTGTAACATAATTCTGCAGCCATTATACTAATTCAATCCGTTTTACATGTAAACTGATCGACCATTAACCAGTTGTGAATATTAGTTATTAAAATAATTTAATAATTGTGCATTATCACTTAAATTTCAGACTAGGTTTTTAAAGCAAACTCGCTCATAAGCAAAGCATTTTCAGGGTGGGGTTTTCTAATGTTCACTTTTCTGTGGTTTCTGTATTATTAATATTGCTTAGATTTGGGTCACTTATTCTTCAAGATACTAACTAAAATAATGTATATAAAAATTATTTGATGAAATTTTTGCTGAGGAGTCCGACACTTATCCTTTAAACTATAATCAAGAGTTGATAATATAACATGTTAAGATGTTATATTATCTACTCTTGGTATAATCTTTAGAAAGCACCATTGCATTCCCACGTTCAGGTTTATTTTAAACATGTACTGACCAGATATTTTATTTGCTCCAGCTGTCCAGAGAGCAGTCCAACATGCTAATTGACACTATTCTGATATAAACTTAAACATTCTTACAACACTCCCACATAACACATGCAACCTAGTGGTTATGCACTGGTTTATTTATATAGTTGACTGCTACACACACCACACCAAAGCTGCATTGACACAATGCGGTATGCAATTTCGTAAAATTATTTCTCCGCGTACACAACGCTTATATCCTGAACCAACACGCTACAGTATACATAGGTTCACGATATAAAATATATATATAAAATGTTCGGAGATGCACGTAATGTGACATTAGAGAGACTGACTAGCAGAAATGTTATGAAAAATCAAATTACTGTTAAAATAAATATATCCCTATTTCAATAGGCACAGTGTGTGGATAATAAATTGCATTATAGCTTTACCTGCAAATTACATTCATATGTAATTACATGCATTATTGCAGCTATAGTAATTATATGCAGCTAAGCACATTACATTAAAATGATCAAGATTTCAGATTACCGCAGCACACACACACACACATATGACTATTGATACCAGCATATTACTGATGTGTAATTTTACCACAATGATTACAATCTAACCATGTGCCACATCAACATTGATATTCTGACATCTCGTGAGATTTTGTTCTTCATCTCATGTCACTAATTTTAACAGACGAAGCCGTATTTATTACCATAACTATTTATCACTAACTCACATTGAACTTGACCTGCTGTAATTTGTATTTCACGGTTGTTAAGCAGATTTAACAATCATACCTGGTAGAGTACCTTTAGCTTTCAGAAGATGGCTGGTCTGAAATGTTAGCTATCACAGCATGCATATAACCTGACCCGACACCTTACAATGACTATACTCAATCCATATGATATTAAATGACTTACTATATTTACATGATGGAAGTATGCAATTTTTAATCGTCTTCATCTCATTTCTTTAACCAGATTTCATGTCAGAGTGCTGCACAGGGTCTGATGTTGGCTGAATGGCAATTTTATTGCTTCATTGCTTGCGTTTAATTATTAGTGTTTGTGTACTATTATAGGGAATCTGACTGTCTTGGACAGACGATTCTTCCCAAGTCTCAGTCAGTCAGCGTTCGTTTCCGCAGCCAACGCAGGGGACGAGACACTCCCAGACACCAGCTGGAGCATGTATCGAGACAGCAGCGCCTCATACCATGTCCCTTGGCGGGACATCAGTGCCTCGCACCCCGATCCCAGTCGAGACATCAGTGCCTTGCACCACGCCCCCTGTCGAGACACCAGTGCCTCGCACAACGGCCCCTGTCGAGACACCAGAGCCTCGCACAACGGCCCCTGTAGAGCCCCCAGTGCCTCGCACCACGCCCCCTGTAGAGACACCAGTGCCTCACACAACGGCCCCTGTAGAGACACCAGTGCCTCGCACCACGACCCCTGCCGAGACAGCAGAGCCACCTACGACCTGCTTCGTGATGCCAGCGCCACCTACGGCCCGCGTCATGAGGCCAGCGCCACCTATGACCATCTTCAAGACACGAGCACCTCACACCACGACCCCTGTCGAGACACCAGTTGGAGCATGTATCAAGATGCCAGCGCCATCTATCCCGATGCTCGGCGGAAATCACTTCGCTCCTGGGACCAGGCAACGCACTACATCGACGCGACGTCGCCCGACCATGTCGTCCTCCACCAGAGGGCGCCGGCGGGGTCGCCCGTGTTGAGCGACGTGACGGCAAGCTTCCACACGGCACACGACAGCCTCGGTAGCGGTGACCTTGGCAACAGTGACCTTGGCAACAGTGACCTTTGCAGTGGCAACCTTGGCAGTGGCGACCTTGGCAGTGGCGACCTTGTCGCAAACATGCGTGAGCTCAACTTGTCAGACACGCGGCCGGGCGGTGGCGCGATCGCTCCCACAGTTCGTGGAGAGACGAGTCCAGGAAAGGCGGTCGGTCGGGTCATCGGTGGCGCCCCCTGGCAAGCATTCGAGACTGCGGGGGAAACGCCGACGCGGCCAGAAGCGGACAGCGACTCGATCGCGCATCGTAACATGCGGCAGGCGTGGACGAACGAAGGCGGAACTGGGTACGAAGCGAAGAGGAGTGTGCTGCGTGGAGGAGACGAAGCGGCCGCGACCGGAGGAGGAGGAGGCGAGGAGAACTGGTGGTCGTCGCGGTTCCTTCCCGGGGGGCTCCCCACCGCGTTCACCGACAGCATGATGACGGATGACCTCTCGTCGACCTCGGGGTCACGTGGCGGGGTCGCGGCGGAGGACGAGGTCGTCTCGGAGTACCTGTACACGGACGCGGGCGAGGGCGTCTCGCTGGTCGAGCGACGCTGCCCGGCAGCCGCGGCGTGCGGGGGCAGGGACGCGTCGAGCCAGCGAGACGACAGCACCTTCGCAGCTTCCGGCACGCAGTCGGAAGGTGAAGCCGAAACCACGACGGCGGCGACGTCGTGCGACTGGCGGGACTACGAGACGGCGACGGATTGCGACGTCGACGAGGAGACGCACGCCGGCGCCCCCGCGTTACGCTCGGCTCGTCCACCCGACGCACCGCTCGCGACGACAACATCCGTCCTCAACGGCGCCCCCTCCCGGAGGGACGATCGGGTAATGGGGCCCCCCGCCTCTGCATCTGTGCTGTCAGATGCATCCCGGCTCTCCGACGTGTTATCGGAGATATCCCGGGTGTCGGTGCCGTCCTGCCTGCAGCAGCTGAGCGACTCAAGATTGCACGCAGCGCTGAGGGAGCAGCACGACGATCCGGGACCGGTGACGGCGTCGACGCGGTGCGTCTACCTGCGGCGGCTTGCGCGGCTCTACAGACGCCCCAGTCTCCCGCGGAGGGGCCACACAGGTACGTTCCGATTCCGATTTGTCCTGACAATGTCCTGATTCTGTTTTGTTACGATGATGTCCTGATTTTGTTTGTTACGACGACGATGTCCTGATTGCGTTTTGTTCCCACAACGTTCCAATTCTGTTTTGTTCTGACAGTGTTCCAGTTACTTTTTGTTCGAACGATTTTCCAATTCTGGGTTGTTCCGACGATGTTCTAATTACTCTTGGTTTCAACAATGGTTAGATTATTATGATGTTGTTCAGTTTTGATTTGTTCCAGTATTGTTTGATTGCGCTATATCCGTTAAAAATCTGAAGCATCAAATTTTAGTTTTCCACCTTGATTGTTTTACTCGTGACTAACGATTGAGGTTGAAAAGTTGCAACTAAGATGTTTTTACTAGACAATATTTCTACAACAGTATTATTTTTCTTTGGACCCATTTCTCTCACATTTCTGTCGGGTTTATCTTTGTTTAATGGTTTGTTACAGATCAGTATTGTTCGGAGGTACAGAAGGCGATATCGGGCAAGTTTCCGATGGCAAGCTTTGCGGAGCGGGAACGGTTAATGTGCCAGGCATTCAGCCAGGCTGACCCGAACCGCAAGTGGCGAGAAGGCAACCTCAAGTCCTCATTCAACTACCTCCTGTTAGGTATAAGGCTCTTATCTTCTAGAGAGAGAGTAGTAGAATTGTACGTGGGCATTTGCAATATATATGTATATATACATATATATATCAGGGAAAAAAAATTTTTTTTACATGGGAGCCCTTTTTCAAGTCTGTGGAAAAAATTGCTCTCGTCAATAATTTTACGGAAGCTATTTTGAGCCTCACGGGAGCAATTTCGGAGGTTTGAAGAGCTCATCGCTCCCGTGAATTTTTTACCCTGATATATATATATATATACAGGGTTCTCCCCAAGAATTTCAGAAGGCATGTTTATGGGCCCTGGAAGGGGTTGTACCACTTGGAGTCAATTACAAGTGTCATAAGCTCGAATACAAAGGTAAATTTGATCAGTTCAGAGACGTATAGTTCAGCTGTGTCAGCAGACACAGTATGTCTGTGTTGGGATTGCCAAACACGGCTGGAAGATCAGGCATGTGGGAGGCGACACTTGTTAAAGACTCAGGGAGAGACCTGGTGTGCATGCATGTGCGTGCACACGTGTGTTTGTGTACTAGCTTTTATAATATATAAGACATAATAATAATATGATATCAGGAGTGTATAATATAGAGATATATCTCTATATGATACACTCCTGATGATATTACTTGTCAATTTATAATACCAGGAGTAGATAATAGGGTCCCTATTATCTAATAGGGTCCCTAATAGGATCCCTATTATCTACTCCTGATAATACCCATTTGTCTATGTATAATATATATATATATATATATGCCACCGCATCTTTACGTCTGACGTTGCAGATCCGCGCGTGACAGACAACCTTCCATTACGCTGCGCCGCGATGTCGGACGCCGAGTGCTCGGCCGCATTCTTCGCCGCCGTCTTCTACGTCGGCAAGGGCAAGAGGTCGCGTCCCTACAGCCACTTCTACGAGGCTCTCCGGCCGACGGCGACAGCGAAAAAGAAAAAGGTATGACGATCCTCCGTCACGCTGTCGTGCGATGCGGGTCGGGGGAATCTTGTGCAAGTTTTTTTTATGTGAGGTCATTTGGCTGAGATTCAGCTGTCATTTTAACACGCGAATCATCGCCTCAGGAAATGAAGTAAAACTTTTTTTTCAACGATGATACTCGCATAACTCGAGTTGCAGTTACTACCTATATGTTATGTGCTGCAAAGGAAAGTACATCATATTGATGCATGCTCGCATCTGTATGTTTACATACATGTGTAAACACCTACATGCATGCATACGTATATGTATGCGTGCACGCGTGCGTCCGTGAGTGTGTACATAATATGTACATACATATATACGTCCGTACATGCGCACGCACGCATGCACACATACACACACACACACACACACACACACACACACACACACACACACACACACACACACACACACAAATGCACACACACATACATACACATGTTGTTGCTGCATACAGACGCTGGGTAGGAAGCTGCAGCACATCCGTGACATCTGGAGCGAGGGTCTCGGTGTCGTCTCCCTGCACTGCTTCCAGAACGTCATCCCTGTCGAGGCGTACACGCGCGAAGCCTGCATGATCGAAGCCCTCGGTGAGTCCGTCGCCACCAGGGGGCAGCGCTGTGCCTCGCGACGCCCCCTAGTCTCGAGCTGTCGCCGCCACCTGAGTGTCGAATGCCGCACAAAATGGCGACACTGCTTGTGTCGTCCCCTGTTGGGTGTCGCTCTGAATTTTGGTCAGAACATCGGTATCTTTTCACGTGTAGGAATAAATTGTTTACGAATATTCTGTATTTGAATATCTATATTAGGTGGTGTAAAAATATTCTGCATTAATCGGCTAACATCATCTTTTTAACACGTAGGATTAGATGGTGTAACAATATACTGCAATACTCTACTAACATCTGTAACTTTTCAGTTGAAGGAATGAATTGTTTACAGGTTTTCTGTACTTGCATTAACATGGATGGCATTTCACACATGTAGGGTTGGGTCACCTGACAAACCAGAAGAAGGGGGATTTCTACAGCATTGCCTCGACATGGTCCATCGGTGAGAAGCGACAGATGGGAGCCTACCTTCTCCTCAGAGCTCGCAACATCTTTCTCAGTGAGGGAGAGCGGCAGATACGACCGGCTGACATCTGAGCATCTGCAAGTTTAACGATCACCCACCAGTATGTCTTACAGTAAAGGTAACCACAGCAGTCACACTCATCATGATCGTAACCATGGTAAAATCGTGTGTACCTTGGTGGTAACCGTGGTAACCATGTAATCACAGTCACCGTGATGTTAACTGTGGTATCCACAGGCATTGTGCTAATATCACGGTCGAGCAAGTCTGATAGAATCCTGCACTTCCATTATATATGGTGTACCTTGCATGATCTAAGATGTCTAATCAAAGACCTCGCAACGAAATGCCTAAATGGTAGTTGCTTTAGCATGGTGGTAGTGCTATAGGGGCAAAGCAAGTTTTGTTGAAGGTTATACATCGAAATTTATTGAAACAAAAATTTGTTATAGTTATAGTTAGATAATTTACTGCGAGAAAATAGTTATAGATATAGACAAGAGCGTATAAAGAAGGAGAGCGTACAACGTTGAAATTCTGAAACCATGTTGCAGTATTAGTCGAATTAATAAACTTTCCCCATTTTATTTTGACGATTTTTTGATGTACGAGTCTGTTTTTGGTAGATTCGGTGATCAGTATTATTGATCAGCTGTCCTACCTTGTTAATATAAAACAAACCGCATGTCCCTACGATGCCCCTACGCTGAGATAATGAGCGGTGAAAATCTGGTATTTTTGCCGAAAACCGACTCGTACATCAAAGAATCGTCAAAATAAAACGGGCAATGTTTCTTAATTCGACTAATACTGCAACATAGTTTCAGCATTTCACCGTTGTAAGCTCTCCTTCTTTATACGCTCTTGATATAGATATAGTTACTGCGAGCATAGTCGCAGTAATAAATTAGATATGTCATGCTTTGATATTCTTTTGCAATATTATGAAGTCATAAAAACTTGCAATACTGGTCTATCATGTGGCAATAAAAAACAAGTGTATATAGTTAAAATAACTATATGTATATAGTTGTAATACTGTGTGTAACAGTAGTTGTGTACAGTGGCGTCACAACATGATTGGGGGCCTGTAAGCAAAAATGAAATTGGGGCCCTAAACATGAATATTTTTTGATAGTCCGTGCGCGCACGAGTGCCGGAGGTAGGAAGTGTGAAGGGGTGGTTTGGGGGGTCTCCCCCCCCCAGAAAATTTTGAAATCTAGACGCTCTAAAATGCTATTTCCAGCATTCTGAGGTTATTTTGAAAGTAAATTTTTTTTTAATTGGGGAGGAATAAAGTTTGGGGGCCCTTTAGGCTGGGGGCCCGTAGCGTTTTGCTACGGCAGCCCTGCAGCTGTGACACCCCTGGTTGTGTACTGTATGTAAATCCAAATTTTTGACAAATGCAGCTGTATGAAACTTCATGAATAAATATATATATACATATATCTAGGGAATATATATGTATCTGAGTATTAACAATTAGCTGCCTGCAGCTGTTGTATTCTGAAGCAGTATTTTTTTTGTCCATTTATGTTTTAATGAGATTCATGATGTTTGCGTTCATGTGCATTAATGCTGCAGGTGCAATACCATAAAAGTCTACGTACAGCTTGCAAATTAGTAAACGATATCATAACACATCAACTTTTGATATTGCATCTTTTTTTTACTCGATGTATATCATTTGCCTTCTAATACTAAACGATTGGTATCATTTAGCAACTTATTTCCCAACTTATATAAAGTTTCACAAGATTGCACACCTGTGCATGAACATTAGCAGTTAGCACGATTGATAAATCAAAATAATACCTCATCTAACAATCTACCCTGTCATCATCTGTATTTACAATTTTACATAACAAGTCTGCAAATACACAAGCATGTGCATGAAACTCACAGTACACTGATATACTGCAGTGTATTTGGCATAAGCAAGAGGATATTCTATATGAAAGAGTAGCAGTTCGTTATAGATTTGGCACAATTACTAGCTCAAATTTACAGGCAAGGGAACGAATCTCTGCCATCGTTTCGTGAAACAATGTAATTACATGATTGAGAAATTATAGGTTTCTGTTTTGTATGTACGTTTTAGAAATATATTTTTTATTTTGTTTTAAAAATATATGATGATATTATCTAAAACGATCTTCATTTAATTTCATGTCATCGAATTTTGAGAAATACACGCTGACAGTTTTACCAGGTTATACCTTGCGGAGACTGTATTTTTGCACCCCAATATATATATATATATATATATATATATATCTGTTATATATATATATATATATATATATTACTGCCATGGCCATAGAAATAATATACTCGTCTTTGTGTAATATCTCTATAATATTGCTATGATACTGACTGTTATAACTTATTTCTGACAATAGATGGCGGGATGATGATGCCCGATATTTGACCTCTACTGATACGATTACAAATGATATGTAATGTTGAGCTATTGATAAATAACAGTCACAATCATTAGATATTGGCGGTTCAACCTCCCTATTCTAAATATTTTAGGATGTAACAGGGTGCAGATCAAACATGCATGATAAAATGCACTGCTTTTGGAGGAGTTTTTGACGTGCTGATAGGGGAGCTGGTTGAGAC